AGACAAGGATAGGTCACTACGAGTTTTTGGTGATGCCATTTGCCTTGACAAATACGAGTTCTATAACCTTACTTGGGAAAGTTTGCAATTGATTATTTTAATGATATCCTGGTATTCAGCTCTTCTGTAGAGGAACATGAGGTGCATGTGCAAAGTCTTTTACAACTTTTGAGGGATAACAAGCTCTATTCGAAGTTATCAAAGTGCGAGTACTTTTTAGAGGAGATTGGATGTCTCGGGCATTTGATTTCAGTACATGGAGTGAGAGCTTATCCTGCAAAGATTTAGGCCATGGTTGATTGGCTTATACCTTCAACAATGCCTGATCTCCATAGTTTCCTTGGTATGGCTAGAGTTTTTTGATGATTTGTGAAGGACTTTTCAGGGATAGCAGCCCCTTTGACTGATCTTCTCCAGAACACATCTAAACGTGCTACTATTCATGGTTGGGATGAGAAGTGTGAAGTGGCATTTCAATATTGGAAGTAGTGTTGTATCTCTGCTCCAGTGTTGAAGATTTTTGATCCTGAAAAGCCTCTTGTGGTCGAGATAGATGCAAGTGACATTGCTATTAGAGCCATATTGCTTCAAGTTGGGCATCCTTTTGTGTACATGAGCCATAAGTTTGATGCCATATAGTGGAATTGGCCTACTTGAGACAAGGAGTTGTATGCTGTGATTGCTATTGTGAAGGAATGGCAATATTATCTGTATGGATTGGACTTCTATGTGGATTCAGACCATTAGTCTCTCCAATATTTCAGTCGACAAAAGGATCTTCGAGGCCGCCTTGCTCGTTGGCAAGAGTTCTTATAGGAAATGTCTGTTAAGATTCAGTACAAGCATGGAGGTGACAATAAGGTGGCTGATGCATTATCCAGGATGGTAAATTCTATCTCGTTCATGAAGCTATCCAACGTTCTCTTGGATGAGCTTAAGAAGTTTGCTGACTTCGACTCCTTTATCACTAATATTCATGCGAAGGTTTTATTGAGGGATGCCTCTATGGATTTGAAGGGTGACAAGTTTGAGTCATTTGAAATTTGAGATGGAATCCTAGTGAAGAAGGGACATGTAGTGGTTCCTCGTGTTGACAAACTCATCAAATGGATTTTTGTTGAGTGTCATGATGTGTCAAATGCTGGGCATCCGGGGGTATTGAGAACGTATATGTTGGTGAAGAGGCATTTCTTTTGGCTTGGGATGAAGTCAAATGTTGAAAAGCACGTACGTGGTTGTTTGACTTGCCAGGTGGTCAAAGTTGATCATCAGAAGCTCTCTGGCCTCTATCATCCTTTACGTGTATCTGAGAATAAGTGGGATAGCATCTTGATGGACTTTATCACTAGTTTGCCCAAAACCTTTCAAGGAAATGATGCTATTTGGGTTGTTGTGGATCATTTGATGAAGATGGCTCGGTTCTTCCCCGTGAAGACGACGATCAAAGCTTCTGAACTTGCTCAGCTGTTTGTAGACTGGTTATTCAGTCTCTATGGTTTGCTAGGTGACATTGTGAGTGATCGGGATCCCAAGTTCACGTCCAAGTTTTGGCAAATGGTCTTTGAGAAGTTAGAGACTAAGCTGAGTATGAGTAGTGGTGAGCATCCACAATTTGATGGGCAGATAGAGTGCATGAATCAGCTATTAGAAGATATGCTAAGGTCTTTTGTGGGAAACTTAACTCAACAGGGAGTATGGGAAAAGTACTTGCCTTTGCTTCAGTTTACTCACAATAGTGCTCATCAATCAACTATTGGCATGTCTCCCTTTATGGCGATGTATGGCTATGAGCCTAGGTCTCTTGTGAGTTTGAATTTGGCTTTGGTTCGGGTACCTCATACTTGTGATTTCCTAGAGGATATGCAAGACCAGTTTGAGTTGGCAAAATTGAACATAAGACAAACTCAAGAGCGAGATAAAAGATTGGCTAATGAGCATCGTCGTCATCAAGAGTACAAAGTTGGTGACAAGGTTTTCCTTAAGTTGTCGGATGCACAACAGTCTCTGAAAGGAGGTGGCAGTGCTAAGTTGTGTCCACAGTATTGTGGGCCTTGGACAATTTTACAGGGTATGGGCGATCTTGCATACACTTTGGACTTGCCAGCTAGTTTGAAGATTCATCCAACATTCCATGTGAGCAAGCTTAAAGCGTGCTTGCACTCTGGTGATGTCATGGATTAATCCATCATCCAAGTCCCAAAGATTGATGTAGAGAAGGCTGGTCTAGCCAATATTCTTGCTCAAAGATTGGTGAAAATACGCCAGAAGATAACTAGGGAGTTGTTAGTTCAATGGAATGGTTATTCCATGGACAAAGCTACATGGGAAGTTGAGGACAACGTGAAGAGAGTGTTTCCGAGTTTTGGTTATGACTTGGATGCCATTCCTGAGGAAGGGGAGAATTGAATTCTATAACTGTATTGCTATATGATTAGAGCCATTTGTTCTATTCTCATCCTCTTGTTTCCATGACCGTATTGTCATGTGAGAAAGCTATATTGCTTTCTTTCTTTTGTGGCCGTTTGTTGCAATGTTGGTGTTGCCATTTGCACGTCTTTTCTCCATGGCCGTATTGCTTTGGACTCCTTTCATGTGAGGCTGGTTTAGCTTCTCAAGGCTGCCGTATGTGGCTGGGTTATGAGGGAGGGGAGAATGACCACGAACCATGGGAATATTCTACAGAATATTCCCATGGCCTATGGCTGTAACACCTTAAGGGTTGGGAGGTTGGCCTAGGGTTCACTCTTTTGTTCATTTCAATACTCAAGTGAACAAGTGACACCGTGAGCCTGAGCTTCCACACCAGATCTTAAGCTCAGCATTTTTCCAGTTTGTGGATGAAATGCAGTGTCTCCAGCCAATGCCACAGATGCCGATACAACAAGATTTTGCGAGGCTTTTCCACGATGAGCAGATGAGTGTTTTTATGCAAGATGGAGTTTAGGCTATGATCAATGCCATTATCTACCAGCCCCTTGATGCGAAGCTCACAAAAATCTAGAGCGACATTCTCTAGCTTAAGAGGAGCATTCAAGGTATGGCTTTCTAGGGATTTGTATGTACAGAGACTCAGTGCATGAACAAGGAACTCTCCAAGGAGAATGCAGAGCTTCACAACAAGATTTGACAGCTTAAAGCAGAGCAGCAACCCGTTGTCATGGATGATGACAACGGGAGTCATCACAACGACGATGACGATGAGTTCCAATGGAAACTCAACAAGTTCAAGAGTGAGCTCTTTGAAGTCGCAACAGCAACGAAACAGCCTGATGCAATGGAGTAGTGAGAGCTTTGAGACGAAACTCAACTCAGTTGTGGGAGAAAAGTGGAGCAAAGGAAATCAACCTTGCATTTAGAAGCATCATCCTAAGTCTTGAGACTCAAACCTGGAGACTCAGGAATAGGAAGAAGTGGCAGTTGCCACCACATAGGACTATTTAAGGGGGTGAGTTAGCACTCAAATCGTATCCCTATCTCTTTTGTATTCTAGCCTTCCATCATCAATGCACGTCCACATGCTCAAAATCTAGAGTACTCAAGCGATGCTAAGCCTATCCTTACTCATGACTTTGCTCATGAGCCTTCTTGGGGATCAAAGGTTTCAGGTTAGTTCTTAATTTAATTGTGTGTTTGGAAGCTTGTGTCCAGTGTGAGAATTTGCAGCAGCAGCAAGTACAAGCAATGATATCAACAAGGCCCTTTATTTTTCCTATAATGATAGCAGTAACATCTTCAACAAATTCTCTCTCATATCTGCATATAGACGTCTAGCAGCAACAATCCTTACCAATTTTCAGATCTAGAGCATATTCACCCTCCCCC